CCCAGCAGGCTTTATGTCAGAACAGGGTTTCCTCTGGGCCGACCCTATTTTATGCTGGATCATGTATGGCTTGTCCTCTAGCACCTGCTTAAAGCATATAAGCATAAAGCTGGCAGAAAGCATGAAGCTGGCACAAGCACTACATCACGTGCCTGTGCCTGATCCAGATGAAATGTGAATTACTGAGTGAACTAGTAGCATGTAGTCAGAGTATGAATGGTTGTTCAACTGCTGTCTGGGAGTTCTGCCATTGACTGCCCTAAATTTCTACCCAGTCATTTCATGTGTTTAAAATTTAACACATGAATCAAAGTCAAGTTCAGTAAAGTACAAAGTAATGTGACAATTTCTTCCTGTCTTCTATTTTGCCAGTCATACCGGATTATCAATAAACCACCAATTTTTCAATCACTTTATAATGCTTATTAAATAAACTACACAAACGATCAATGAACATATAAATCATTAGTGCTAATAATTACATATTACTCAATCTTTAAGGAAACAGAACACAAACGTATTAATAATAAGAAAATAGAACTGAATAGTAAATACATGAAACTGTACCGTGTCTTAGCCAATGATACATTATTTAAACCTGGCTCTTTTAACTTGAATTATATTACCACCAGAATCTCTAAAGACCTTATGTAAGGTCTTTAAACCTTAAATGGAATATACTTACATATGTGCTTTACAGCACAGATTATAGATGACTTTTTGCATCCTGCATTTGCAAAATTAATGAAATTTTATGCTGAGTATTATTTATTCTCATGTGTGGTGTACAGATTGTACTTAGAAATTCCTCAGTACTTTAAGAATTTTTTTGAACGTTAACAATATTATCAGCTAAAGTCACCCTATTTATATTTCATGGAAGTGCTCCCACAACAAAGTATTAGAAAAATTTGGCTCTTAAATTCAAGGTAACAACATGAATCCTATGCTTCACTGACCATTGTGAAAAAGATTAAACTGTCCTTCCTTTGCCTATACTCAAAGTCAAAAAAGGGCATAAATCCTCTGAAAAATGTCACACTTGGTTCCCAAGAATCCCACAGGGATATAAACTGCTGGTAGAGCAGATGTAGCAAGGAGAACCTAAGAGATCTACAGTCCAACATGAGCTCTCCTCAGGGAACTGCATTTTCCCTGTTAGGTGATGGGAAAGTATCTGCACTGTCACGTAGTGTTCTCCACCCACACCAAGGCTGCATCTAGCCCTGAAGCTACAGTAACAGCTAACTGCTGAGGGCATAGTCCAAAACATCCAGTTTCTTCAAGGCAAAGTCCTCTGGTCTTTACAAAATACAAAAGCTCTGAAAGAATACTACCTGGATTTTCAACTGATACTGGGGTGGGCTAAAGTTCATCTAAAGCATAGATACCTTCATATAGGTTAGACATCTAAACTAGTCACCGCACTCAGTGAGGTCCAGTTACCTCGCTAGGTGGCCAAGTGCAGGTGTCAGCTTTACGATGAGGTGGGCTGCTCTCTGGGCTCCACTGACCGCTTTGACTGCATCTCCACAAGCTACGGCAGGAGTTTACACACTGAGTTCACATACAGACAGCAGCACGTAGGCTGCTACATTTTGATGTCTTAATCAGAACCCATATAGTCCCATGCCCAGTGTTTTCACTGCATTTCTGTTTATTTTTGATAGCTGTTGCTATAATTCTTATTTTTGTCAATCTGATGTGGCAAACCCACAATATTTTCTGTGAAATGGAGGAAGAAATGAGGAGTGTGGGGGTAAAAAGAAATCCAGAAGAAAAAAAAAATTCGTAAAATACCTGCAAAGGCACCAAGGCAGATGTATAAAACATAGTCTCAGCAAACACTATGTTATTTTAGCAACCAGATGCATGCTTTTTCTTTAATTCAGGAAAGAAAAAGTCTTTTAAAAAATTTTGAAAATCATCTTCAACATACAAAACGACCTAAAATGGAGATGTTTCTACTCAAATCCACCACTCTGAACAGAGCTATTGTTACATGATCCGATGTTGATGGGGTTTTTGCAAGCAGTAACATTTTGTCATCAAAAGGTAATAGGTTAAATACCACTCTACAAATGCCTTTAGTGAGCAGCAAAGGCCTATTTCTCTGAACCAACAAAAAGAATATGCACTAGAAGTCATTATAGAGCATCCAGTAATTTCACGCCCTACATCTGTAAGTCTCCCAAATGGCATTACTCTGTGCTAAATTAATTTAGGCTGATTTAATCAAATGAAAGCACTGGATAACTAATATAAACTAGAATTTCCTGAGCCATTATTTTCGATCTTCCAAACCTAAAAGCTTATGCTGATTTTACTGGCTAATTGTAACTGGCAGGTCATTTGCAGAGTAGCAAAAGCAAACCACTTCAGGATGAGTACAATAAATTTAATGTATTCGTTCGTGATCCTTAACTCACAAAAACATTATCCTAAGGAGATTGATTTATCAGATCAAGACAAGTTTCTTTATGACCATGACTTGTTGACTATGACATATTAGGACATATATTCAGGTAAAAACTAGCAAAAAAAAAAAACCAATACAGACTAAAATAGTCAGCTTTTAAGTAGGATATTTGGAGTTTGCCTGAAATTTTTAGCATTATTATATTTCTTTAGTTATTTTCTACAGGCAGGGCTAGGTCATAGTGTTATTTGCACCTGAAGAATTTCTTTGAAAGCGCTTGGGTTACTATAGAAACAACAAAGGAAAATTTAGCCCATTATCAATAAATTGAGTTTCAGCTTTTGTTTTATAAACACAGTTCATATGCAGACATAAATTCTCCTCATTTTACTCAGACAAATACATTTCAATAAGCTTTCTGGTGTTTGTATGACCAACTCTGAATCAGAGTTTGCTAAGCAAACTGAGTAAAGAAGACATCTGTATTTATCCCTTATAGTGAAGCCTGGGTGTCCAAAGGTGGTTAGTTTGCAATCCAGTGGATTCAGTCATGAGGTCCTTCCTATTCCGTACACATAGCAGCCCAGAGGTCATTCTCTGTGGATGTTCCCAAAAGCCTTGACACCACTCTGACAGGTAATAAGGGGAAAATCTAACCTAGTTTTTTCAAGAGCTTAAAAGACCTGTTCACTGAATACCAGTGTGGCTCAGCCATCAAAACAACTTATACAGTCATGGACACATGATGTATTTTTGGAGTCTGGAAGAGAGATACTGCCTAGCACAACTGGTGAAGACACTGTTTTTAGCACCTAGATTCATCTTGATTGGTTATGTCATATTATATATACAAGAGAAGTTAGAGCAGAGAGAGCAGTGGTCCCTTCTGGTGCACCACGTATGCCTACAAATTAAAGCAAAGCTGGCTACATAGTGTCTGCTGACTTACTTCTGCTAATCCAGGTATGGCATCACAGACTGTGGCATATACTAGCCCTCCAGAGATCCCCTGTGCACAGTACAGTTGTGAGCAAGTCCTGTTGTTAGCAAATCCAACACAATCATGCTTTTGATGCTAATGTACCATGGGCTAGCACTCACAAGGCAGGTAGACTACGCTTCTGGTTTCTCTTCCTTTGTAAATATATCTTTAGATGGACAGGAGGTTACAAATTCCCAGTAATAAACCCACCTTTTCTTTTGTGTTTTTCTAATTTTTTTCTGTGTGTGTTGAAGCTTTGGCTTCCAGCAGCTGCACTGCAAACTCAAGAATTCTTGCTTTAGATCTAGTCTCTAGCACTGTAAAAATTAAATAAACACTCCTAAAACTGACATATTTCTACACAGACATTTTACATGACAGAAATCCTACAGGAATTCTGTTCTTGCTGACATTGACTAAACAAATGACAGAATAAATCTCCAGCATGGAAAGTGTTTGCTTCAAGCCCTTGTCTACGCTCTGTTTAAGGTCCTTTCCTTCAGTGCCTACTGGAGCATCAAGGAGAGGAAAAAGTATCAATAATTATTGCTTTGATGTTAAAAAGAGCTTATATAAAGGAATCTGTAAACCTCTTAGTAAGGATATGTCTTTCTTTCTTATGGTGATTTCAAATCCTTTTGGGCCTCAATTCAGTAAAATACTTAAGCACAGTACTTAATATAAAGCACAACCTCAATTTCCACTGGATCTGAACTGTGCTTTTGGGTGATTTACTGAGTCATAGCCTGTATCATTAATGTTTCCTTTCAAATTAAACATTTTTCCAGAGAAAAAGAAACCAGGAAACTCAGGAAGATTCTCTAAAGTTTATTCCACTGAAAGGAAGGAACAGTGAGGAAGATATCAAAACTTACAGTCCACCAAAACACTGAATGTATCTGAATATTTGAGAGGCTTCAGTCTTAGGACATTCACCTGACATTCCTAGTCCAGGTTTACAAAGCTCAATTCTAAAGAGTGGTTAAAAAAAAAGCAAAGCCAAAATTCAACAATTTTAAAAAAGGTAACATAGCTAATTCACACTAAATTGGTGATCAGTCTGTAAATAGCAGATGAGTGAGGTAGCAAAAAGCAGGTAACACTGTCTTTCCAATCTCCTGCTAACTGACAGCTGGTTTCTGATGGGAGCTTGCTTCTTTTCAGGTTTGCCTCCTAAGATTTACCACCAAACACATGTAACCCACACTGCCATTTTCCAAGCACCTTCTTGCTACACGTTACCCCCCAAAAAAAGAAAATACAAGTAGATAACAAAGAGGCAGAGAATTGAAGAGGATGCAAGAAATAAATCTCAGATACACTCACAGATGCAAACAGATGTGAGCCAGAGACTTTAGTGGAGTAATGTCAATTTACACTTAGTAAAGCCTGGCCAAAAGTATTTCCATATAAAAGGAACGTATGACGCATGAGCGTACAAAATCATCACAACGCAAATCATTAAGTCGCAATCGTATGATGAGAGTGGAAGCGTAACGGTTATTAAAATGGCTTTCACTTAAATGGCTTCAGTTTTAACAAGGCTTAATGCATGTCTTCACAGGAGCTTTGCAAAGTAAGGACAACACAAGTTCTTACCTGAGCTTTTATTGGTTTTGTTTTGTCTACTCTTTACTTGCTCAGTCCACAATGTAGGATAACGAGAAGCTATATCTAGAAAAAAACCAACAGAACAAAGTTTGTAAACATTACATTTTTTTAAAAAAGTTACTAGCAGCTGAATAATAAGTGGCTAGTTTTAAAGATACATGGATCTAAAAAAGAAAAGGGCACACTGGTTTCTATTAGGACAGTTAAAATCTTGATTATCATGCAAAGGCATGAATAGTTCCTTCCTTATCCCATTCATACAAAAGGTTGAAATAATACTTGTAGACTAAAATTATGTTTAATTGGAATAAAAATCTCCTAGTGTGGACCCAAAATATGTAATAACTTCAGATCAGATTCTGTGAGATTTGCAGTGAGCGGTAAGGCAGCCACAATATAGGACTATCGTTGCATGTAGGCCTTCAGCTTTCCATTTACAGAGCACTGAATTTCCCCAGAGACAAATAAGCCTGACAAAACATCAACCTTAACATTAGTAGGCAATATGCTGAGGACAGAATTTATGCTTTAACTTCCTTATTTGGCCATGCAGTTTTAATGTGCACTCTGGCTCAAGTTTAAAACCTGTCTCTGCCCTGAGAGTTGACCATTAAAATTGCCGATGTTGGACTCCACAGCTACAGCGTCACCTCAAAACTGTCACACGAAATTCGTTGTTTGTAAGTAAAGACTCTATTGTGTTTGCTGTCTTTATCTGGAAAAAGGTACAGATGCTTTCAATTTCTTGCAGTTTCTTGCAACTGCTCCAGCATTTGCCCTAACTCTAAGGTAGCATTTGATGTTGTGGTATACGGTCCATACTGCATAATTCAATACTGCGCTATTAAATTCCTGTTGATGCTCACCTTCTTCATCACCTTGAGGCTGAGTCTCCAGCGCGGGAGCTGAGGCATCATCTGAATTCAGAATGGAAAAGATTTGCAAGGAGACTACAATTATGAGAGTAAGCTAAATAAGTGTACATACGTGATTGATACTAATGATTTGCACATAGCCCCGGCCGGTAAACAAACAAGAATTTAAACATTATTTACAGGTACTACACAGCACAGATACATACATCTACAGCCTATGGATTATAAATGGATGGCTTTTGAGGTTATGGCTGATGAAATGATTGCAGAGTCTTAGATGAGGCATGAAGTGATCAGGTCGCTCCCTGGACAGTAATTCTTCATTTTTAATGCTGCACATCGATACCTATAGATTATAACTGATCAAATCAGCATTTCTAAAGAAGTAATTAGATAAATGTATAGAAAGGGTAAGACCTGTGAAAGCAAAAGCAGTTTGGGGCGAGTGAGTGGCTGCAGACATGTTGACACCTTAAAATGAAAGGAAAGATTCTTTTGGCACAGCAGGATCTATTTAACAGTCAAACTGATTTTATAAGCAAGATTCACAGATTAAAGAACCAGAATATTGTTTGCATATTTCTTATCCGCTGGTCAGCCATCTCCATCCATCCACTACCAACCATTACTGAAATAAAAGAGGAAGGAAAATCTACAGAAATGATAAGAGGATGTGGGTAATTTTAGGTTCAGTAAAACACTGAAAGTAGTGCTGGAAAAGAAAAATTCAATATGAAAATTTACTTAAGTTAGCATTATGTGAGAAAAAGCGGTACCCAAAGGCCTATCTTTACCTCATTACATTTTCGTTATTTAAAATTATTTCAGATATTGGGTAAATATGACTTAGTAGGCCTTGCTAGTATATTTTCCAGTCATTGCTGTTTCCTGTAGCATGGAGCTAACTCCAAGACCATGATGTCCCGCAGTAAACGGCATCTTCCATGCAAGGGTTTTATTAGCATTTATTGCAGTTTCACAACTGGATCTCAGACCAACATAGTTTCCAGATTGTTTTCCTGGCATTTTCATAGAAGCTAGAACCGAAGGTAACTAAGAAGCTTCCTCTTGCATGTAGCTCTACCGGGGTAACAGCGAGCAGCAGCTTTAAAGGCTAACACACTACCTGTGTCCAGTTCTTCTTGCTACTGCAATTCAGGACAGCCTCCTCCTGTTCTCTTTGGTGTCACCATCACAGGGTTTTTTTTAAATCTGTATTGTCTTTATGCAAATCATGCAGAGGATTTGGAGGCACTCTGACCGTCCCCTCTGGAGGCCACAGCCTAGTTCACAGCAAATACAGATACCAAGCAAATACTGATAGCAGGTAAAACCAAATTTGCAGCCATGGAACACCAACCTCCATGCTTTTCACAAAACCAAAGCAGCAGCAAGAGAAACTTATTTTCACTGCAAAATGTTTTAACCAAAGCGTAAGGAGACTTCTTTTAAGAATGCTCATTCTTCATGTCCACGCAATGACAGGATACATTGCTCTAATGCCACAACAGACTGTCACTTCTCATTAGTTTTGCTGGCATTTTTGTGGTGTCCTCTGGGTGGTGGAATAAGACCATTGATTAATTTCAGAGAGGCCATCAAGTATCGTAGCGTACTGAGAATAAAGACATACATTTAGATCATCAATCAGTATGTGATTCAGAAAACCCAGAATTTCAGAGGGTAACTTACAATAGGTAAATATTACCAGGAGCCAAGGCAGAAACTCGGTTTTGGTTTTAAATGACATTTTTCTAAACATCTTTTGGTACACAATTTCAGTTTGTGACACATTTGATCTTATGTTATTACCTGAAATTCAGATATAATGCTGCAACTTTAGCGATTATCAGCCCAATCAAAATTAGCCTCTTGAACTTTGTTCAAGCAGCATTTAAAACAGTTTACCTTTTCTTTTTTTTTTTTTAACTAAACAGATGTTTAATGGTTGAGTCAGAAAACTGGCCTTAGGTCCCCCCGACCCAAAAGAAAGAAAGAGGTTCGCTTTTGGTCGTCAGTGAACCAAACATTTGCTACAGGATATCTGTATAATCTAAAAGGTATTAACCTCACTCCAGAACTGGAGGAGCTACAACAGCTCCTGAACTACCCTTAATCTGCAGGAAGACACCCGCATTAATTTTGTGTTTGCACTCTGTCAGGTACATCATCTTTTCATAAAAACCTTTTGTGTTAAGAATGAAGAGGCATGTGGCATTTCATTGTTCAAAACAATATTCAATAGAGTCACAACCGTAGAACAGTTCATCTTCATGTTAATTAGATATCTTATAGGTTAACTTCATGAGTCTTCCTGGCTGGTGCATGCATACCAGTGCATATGTGCATACATTTAAACAGAAACCATTCTGTTTTCTATCAGAGTCCAGTCACCAAGAACATAGTCCTGCAGTCAGCTAAGAATCAGAAAAAAAGGGATGTGATCCCATCTCTGACACCTGTGCTTTTCAGATAGTCTGAGTATTTTCCTTGAATAGAGGAGGGAACTGGGGGACCAGGGAAGATACGTTAGAAATTATCTTTTAAGCTTTATTCCTGTTTGATTTAATGTGCAAATCTGCAAACAGAGCTCCTGACCTCCAAAGTCTGCAGCTGGTAATTTTCTTTCAGTATTGGAATACCCAGAGAAAACGAGCTGCACAACTGCAACAGATACAGCCCGCCAGGTCATCTTCTCCTGCGAGTCTGTGTGGAACATCTTGGAAGAGACTGTCTCAGGCTAAGTCTGGCTGTCTCTTGAGTAGAGTCCTCAAGAGCACACTTGAAGGTCTGGAGCATGTCCTCTGCAGCAGTGAGAATGTGGTGAACCTGCCTAAGCTTGCTGGGTTACAATACGGGCAGGTACCCCCATCCAGGCACCCCTGGTTATTCCATAGGAACATGCAGAGGAAAGATGAGCAGGGAGTTTTATGGTTATTTTGAAAACTACTGCTGTGCCCTTTCAAGCTGAGCTACAAAATATTTTTACTACACTGACTGTGAAGCCGAAGCACAGCTCTTCAACTCAGACAGCTGATCCTGTTCACTACTCCGTGACAGTCTCTAAATAGGTTGTGATGTCTCTGACAACATTATTTATTTAAATAAAACAGCAGGGACTGGCTCGAAGAAGGATGGCGAGAGGAAGTTAGTAGCATCTGAGAAGAGCCAGGGACCACCTGGGAACCAGGTCAGCGGCCCTTCACGCTGCAGGCTTATGCTGGAGAATAAAAACAGGGTGTGAGTAAAATGCAACCGTGTCACTTTAGACATGAACATATGTGATGTGAAGGGAGACTTGATAAATTGTGTTCATTTAAGCTCCTTGTTCTTTG